TATCCATAAAATGTTCATGGAAAAGGCATTTCCATGGAAAAAACTAAAACTCGTCGGCCTCGAGGAAGCCCCGGTACTGCGGAGGATCCCTGCCGTCGGGGTACCTGTCTCTGATGGCCCACACGGCACACGATGGGATGACCCTGCGGACGTCTTTGCCAAGTCCACCGTGCAGCCAGCTGGTGAAGTTAGTGTAGGCCTCCCATCTGTAGTTCTCGTTGTCGATGGTTTTCTTCATGTTTTTCTTCCTGATGGTTGCCCTGTTAGTCATCGTCATCCTCAGGGTGTCCTGGTTCAGGATGCAAGGGTTGAAGTTGACGTCGTCAACGATGCAGACGATGTCGTCGGGCACGCCTCTGTCCTCGCACTCTGTCAGGTCGTGGCAGCAAACACACTCCCTGACAGTTGGCATCTGCCTACAGTTGCCGCATCTGCACCAGATGAACTGCTTCCGGCGCCACCCCTCGGTCTCTACATCGACTCCGTCCCACTCGACGACGCTTTGCGCCTCGATGAGCTCTGGATAAGTCGGGGCGACAGAAACGCCGGTACTGCCCCCCTCCCCAGCCGGCCTCACGCGTCTCCTTGGCTCGAAGTTATAAGGGATGATGTTGTGGATATCGAAGTCCTCGAAGTCCTCAAATCCCTCAAATTCATTGATCCTCTCGGATTCGTCAGAATCCATCGCCAGTATCGCGTTATAGATAGTTAAATAGTAGTTCAAGCGTAGATCAATGTTATTGTTGTTGTTGTTCAGAGGTCAGATTACGTCATAGGGGTCAAAGGTCGCCAGACCGCACCATATCAGACCTCACCACGGGGCGAGTATCAAATTCCATTAAAACGCTAATCTGTGATGGACTAATGTAAAACAAGTAACTAATTGACTTTTTTGTATACTTTTTATATATAAGTGGGCAGAAAAAAAAAGAGTTTTGTCTGCCTTTAAGAAGAGCCAAACATCATGTGCATTAAAGAACCCACGACACTTATCAAAAAGAGTAGGGGCCCTTCCTGGTATGAGTCGTTCAAACCTTACAGTTTGGTATTATCTGTGTTGATGTCTCGAAAATATGATAGTCACAATCAGTGCTGTGTACCGGTTTGCTGGACCGGTTCTGGACTTGTAAAAACGTTTAGGTTCAAGTCCAAAAAAACACTAAAAGTCAAGAACCGATTCCGGACTTTATTACAAAAAAACATGTCACATACCCCTCATCTTTCCAAACCACCTACAAACTCCTATAGATTGCAGAATCTGTGCTGCAGAATGAAGAAAACATTGCCATCAGGCATCGTCAAGTGTCGGCCTCCACATTGTGTGGCCAAAGTTTTGCCCAGACAACATTGCAAGGTTGCCAACATGCAATTTTGTATATGCCATGGGTTTAGGTCCGGACGACTTACAAGTCCAGAATTGAACCTAAACCTCTGGACTTGAATCCGGACCTGAACCTAAATGTGGGTTTAGGCACACAACACTAGTCACAATCCTTCCACAAATGTGCTGAATCTCTAGAGATATACAAATGTAGCCTTGTTGTGGGGAATAACCAGGCCTTTCTGTTTCTCCAGGGTTTCTATAGTGCAGCTAGCCACAAAAGACAAGGTGTACATCCTAGACATGATTGCCTTGGTACAGAACACAGAGATGGGGAGGTTACAGCACTTCTTCTCCAGCCTCCTAGTCAGCCAAGATGTTGTCATTCTAGGTAAGCTTAGGCCACACCAATTTGATTTGTTGGTTCTCTGATTTTTTCAGAATATGAAGGGACGGTGAAAAAAATAAATAAAAAAAACAGGTCTAGGCATCCCGAAATGCTACGATACGAGCCATGAAGTCAACAAAAAAGGCTAGCTGGGTTGAAAATTTAAACTATATATTTTGAGCTTTTAATCAAACCACTGCATTGATGAATGGAAAAACTGTATCCACTAGGAAGAAAAGGACTTTCCTCAACTGTTGGGGGCAAAATATGAGCATTTTTTAGTTGATTCAGAATCAGAATCTTTCTTTTTTTTCTTTTTTGCAAATCAGAAAAAAATGAAGAGGCAAATCTGAGAATAGTGTTGCATACCGGTTTACTGGACTTGGATCCGGACTTGTAAGAATGTTTAGGTTCAAGTCCAAAAAAAACCTAAAAGTCAAGAACCGAGTCCGGACTTATTACCATAAAAGACCATTTCACATACACCTTTTCTTTCCAAACCACCTAAAACCTTCCGTAGATTGCAAAATCTTTGCTGCAAAATGAAGAAAACATTGCCATCGGGCATCGTCAAGTACCGGCCTCCACGTCACCCAGACAACATTGCAAGGTTGCCAACATGCAATTTTGTATATGCCATGGGTTTAGGTCCAGACTTACAAGTCTGGAACTGAACCTAAACATCTGGACTTGAATCCGGACCTGACCCTAAAATTGGGTTTAGGTATGCACCACTATCTGAGAACCAACAAATTAAATTGGTGCCGCCTAAAGAACACATTTTTATTTACCGAAAAGAAGTACTGTTTTGGGTAGCACTGGATTGGGGGAGTTTGTATGTGTCTTGTGTTCAGCAGCAAACAAACTGAGTGGGTGGAGATTGGGTTTCAGTTGATTGACAGGGTTGTGACCCAGTATGCCATGGATAAAAACCCACAACAATTTCATTTGAAAAGAAGACAATGACATAAATGTAGTTTTAAACAAGTTTGATCTGCAAAACCGTTAAACCTCTTCGATAACTATTTTTCCTATATTTACCATTTTGCTAGGTTATGGAATAGATGGAGATTTCCAGATGTTGGGCAGATCCTACCCTTTCCTCAGGGAAGCCTTGTCGAAACGAAAAAGGGTCATCGACCTCTCACATGTAGCCACTAGGGTGAGTTTTTTCTTGTCCTTAAAGTGTTAACGAACCTTTTATTGTGTCCACCGCTTTCATGTAAGGTCATGTTGATTTGATTATTTGGATGACATCTGCGCACGCATGAAGTTTCGGTCGTTTAAAAAAAAAGTTTTCAACCATACTGTAAATGGTACAAAACACTTGCAAAATTAGCAAATATATCCAGTAAATTGCACTAAGAATATTTAAAAATGATACCAATGTCGTAGGATGCCAAAATCAAACGAAAAAAGACTGTTAAGAAATGAATTTGAAGAGTAGATTATTTGCCAAACCATACCCTGTGTCATTTGTTCAACCTTCGTGACCACGTAGATTTCATAATGAAAGCAACTTTTTTTTTTATTCGCACGCATATATTTTTTTTATTATATAGTCAAATGAACAAAAATTTTTCTCCCAGATCCACAGAGCTGATCCTTCTCTCCTGACATTTGACGCCGGAGACTCGACTGATGACGACCTCACAAGCGCAGCCCCCGCAAAATCCGACGCCAGCGGGCTGTCTCAACTGGTCCAGCAGTGTTTGGGACTTCCTCTGGCCAAAACAGAACAACTGTCCGACTGGGAGAGACGTCCTCTTCGCAAGGCTCAGCTCCTGTATGCCTGTGAGTAATGGTCATTTATTTGTTTGTGGCATTGAAAGTAGTGGCTTGGCTAGTGGAGATCATGCATGCCCATAGCCAGGATTTTGAAGGGGGGGGGGGGTTCGTTCCCATTGCTTGCGGGACCAGCGAGCACCGTAGGCGCAAGGTTCCTAGGGGGTCCGGGGGCATGCTCCCCTGGGAAATTTTGAAAAATGAACCTTCTGAAATGGCATTTCCTGTGTTTTTTAGAGGATTTCAAAGAAAAAAAATCAGAGATAACTTTTTTCAATGACAAAGTGAGCAGTTTTCCTATGATTCCAGCCTTGCTGGTGACACGAATCAGTCCATCTTTTAAAGAAAAATCTTGGACCTTTAGATAAATAAGTGGACCAAAAAGTGGACCTTTTGGGGGGGTTCGTCTGAACGGGCATGTACATGGTATGAAACATAAACCATGGTGTAATACTGGAGTGCCTAATACAACCATGTGAACAAATGATCCATTCTATGATGTAATTCAAACGGGTGTTTTTTTCTAGCGCTGGATGCATACTGCCTACTAGAGGTTCACGACGTCCTGACAAAGAGAGTGAAGGATGCTGGGATAGCCATCGACTTTGAAGCCCCTGCAACCGGCAAGAAAGGTACAAGTAGTGGGGACAAGTCCAAGAAGGAAAAGAAGAAGAAGAAAGGAGATGGGAAGGGGCCAAGGAAGCCTCCCACAGCACCTTGGAGTAACACAGGTTTGTAGTAGCATGTGTAGGTTTAAGATGATAGGAGTTCTAATCCTAGCTGTTGCCACTCACATGACATACACACTACTGGAAAGGGTCACAGTCTATAGGACAGGACGTTGTTCATTGTACATTGTACTTGTCACAAAGAATGAATAGCAAAGTTCTTTGATCACAACCATTTATTTTTACAAGCCAACGTTTCGATGACCGTCTGTCATCTTCATCAGGGCAATTCTGGTTTGAAGATGACAGACGGTCATCAAAACGTCGGCTCGTAGAAATGAATGGTTGTGATCAAAGAACTTTGCTTTTCATTCGTTTACCAACCTAATGAAATTATTTACGGTTGTCAAAAAGAGTTTGGGGAATTTCCCTGGTACAATGAACCCGTAAATACTATATATAGTGTCTGTCTTCTCTCACAACTAGTGGAAGTGTAGCTCTTCAGTGAGTTGAAATGCAATTTTCTTTATTGTGTGGGGCAAATTTTGCTGGTAGGCTAAGCTTAGTTTAATGACATCTCTTTTCATAATCATATCTTTACATGCCGTTTTTTCTCCGTCAAAGATGACAGATAGGGCATAATTTTTGTCCGTCACGAGCAGCAAAATTCTGTCAAACGATGGAAAGAACACTGGTTCAATCTTTCTATTACTATGGATTTAGATTGCTTTCCTTTTGTTTACAGGTGGTTTAAGAAGTGGGGAGGGCGTGGGAAAGTCGTCGATCCCCCCCATCCGTCCGGGTGAGCTGGCCGTGGTGTGTGACACCATGCTGCAGGGCATGGGACGCCAGCTCAGGTGCTGCGGAGTGGACGTCAGGATACTGGAGAACTCAGACGACCACGATCGAGCCGCAGAGGTATGGGAATAGTGCTGTACAGTGTTAAGCCTCGGTCACAACCTGCTGTACGTGCTTCTTGTCCGTACGTTTTTTGTGGTGAGTTGTACGTGCTTACAACGTACGATCTCTGTGCGATTTCACCTTTACCGTACTTGAACTACAGTACGTACGGGGCACGCGCATCGCCCGTACTTGCATGTATGGGTGGTGAATCCGCAGACAGCACGCAAAAAAAGTTTTACATGCACTTAAAGTTCTACAGCGTTTCTGCGTGCTCCCAAATCCGTAGGATTCCATACGGAGGTGGTACTCACCACATACGGATCCCCTACGTTTGCCCACGTTTTTGCACGTACACAGCACGCAGATTCACGTAGGGCAGGTTGTGACAGAGGCTTTAGAAATACATGTACCCATCTGCACTCTGCATTTTGCAGAGACATCTTCCATGTTGCAGGAGAAAAATTAAGCGACCTGCAATTTTGTAGACGGAAAAAAAATCAGGATAGAGGTTCAATGGTGTTTGTGTATAATATTGTTTAGGAGCATTTATGCTTACCACTGACTTAATGATATACTACAATGTAGTTATTCATGTATTCTCCAAATTGCATGTAAAATGTTTACCAACATGCAATTTTGTATGGGTTTGAGTCAGGGCATATTTGCAAAAAGTATTTCCAAAGTGCAGAACAATATTGTGACACTCTGCAATATTGCCGAACATTGCAACAAAGTATTTCGACCACTGCGTGTACCTACATTTATCACATAACTGGGCCACGATAATGTTTGATGCAGGTGTTTAGGCCCGTGTGATAACTAGCATTATATCATACCCAGGCCGTGATAACCTTCAATAACTTAGTGTTCCGGACCGGGCCATACTTTACGGTACGGCCTTGGCTTCCAAAAACGATTTGAACATATTTCGCCCTAACCGCGTGTGCTGCTTAAAAAAATTTGAATACAGGATTCGGACGTTGGAATTGATGTTGCTGCAATTTTTTTTTTGGGGGGGGACACACCGAATTTGGCCTATGCGCGATCCGACTAGCATTCGGGCTGGTACACGTACCTTGGGTGATACAGAATACACCATGTTGTATTCTATTTGTAGGAATAGCGTTTTTGTATGTAGAGCATATAAAGAATTATAGAGGACACATTCCATCTCTCAGATTGCCAGAGCAGAGAAGAGAATTATCCTGACGTGTGGCATGCCGTACCAAACTGTGAGTATGAACGTTTTTTATTTTTACTGAAGGAAAACCTATTGTTTTTGCTCAGTTTCTTCCTCTTCTTCTCCAAACAGTGACCTCTGACCTGACCAATGACATGATTTGTTGACGCCTGTCACCATGGTGACTGGTGTTGGGTTACATAATGTTGCAATTTCATGGTCTGCTCTGCTCCTGTCACCAGATATTAGTAGTACATGTTTGTGAATGTGTTTGAGTAAGAATTAACAGAGCAGACCATGTCCGAAGGTAAACATTATTTCTTTGCTTTGCAAATGTTACTTCTCTAGTTTTGTCTTAGATGTGTACTGCAGTTGTCTATCTTTTCTTCATAATTGCAACCACTTTCCAACTGTTAACTGATATCTTTCCCTTTTTCCAAGGAAAAATTCCAGAACAAGAAGATTGTATTCATACATGCATACAACATGTGGTATCTGCTTTCACCTGTACAGCTGAGGTCTCAGGTGGGGGAAGGCAGGTGCCTGTGTTTAGACTCAGGTGTAGGGCCCAGGCAACAGGTGCTGCAGGTGCTCCAACACTTCAATGTCAAGGTCACGCAGAGAGACATCTTCAGCAGGTGTCAGGTGGGTCATGGATCATGTTACACTTGCCCCTTCGAGGTTTCAATTGCCCTGCAGTTCATGTGTATCCTGCAAGGGGGCAGTTCAGTACTGTAGTTTTGTAAGTGTCCTCTGCTAAGCATTCAAAGTGACAAGGATAAGGCTTGACATGATATGCAACAAGTTGTACAGACTGAGGGGGAAAGGTTTTAGCTTCTTAACATTTTGTAGTGCGTCATAAATGAGGTATAAAATGTACAAAGTTGCAAACTTGAAAGGCTAATTGTAGGAACACACAGATAAAGTGATGTAAAAAAAAAAAGGTAAGAAATGTCCAGTCTATAGATCTGTCTGATGTTTCTAGGTACATTGCTTGGGAGGATTGACTTCTTCTTTTGCTTTGCTAATGACTAGCCATACGTTGGCTTTTTAGAGCTTAGAAGATACATGTATGTAGTTTGGAGAAATCTTCCAGAAAGTTAAATCTTGGGGTGATTCTGTATCTGTATAGCCGGTATAACCGCCCTTCGGTGTAACACACCAGCTTTGCAGGCATGAGGCATGGCGATATTTCACTAAAACACCTGTCACATGGAACCTTTGCACATGTAACTGCAGACACTGTTTAAAGCTGATGTGATGATATCCCAACTGTACTTGGTGGCGGCAAGTTCCACTCTTCGATAGTTGAACACCTCAATCCTTGGTTGATAACTCTGGTACTTGAAGGCATGACTAGTATTTCTTGTTCTCTTCTGAGCTGGTATTAGATGCTGAGTAGTTGGGACGTCCACCAGTTTATTAGTCATTTTGTACATCATACATAGTCTGGACATTTTTCTTCTGTCTTCCAGCGACCCCCACTGTGGTAACTGATACATACTGATATAAGCCTCATTATAAAATTGTTTTATTGCAAATTCGTTACCAGGGGCTAATTGAAAGAACAGAAGAAACATTTGGTATAAAAAACAGACAATTAGTACACATAGAACTACTAAGAAACTACTAGTAAAAAAAATTACTGGGTTTGACTTCTTTTTTGAAGACAGAGGAAGACAAAGGATCCCACTTTTTCTGTAATTTGTGGGTTTTTGGATGTTAAGAGGGGAGTAGTTTTCTTTTCATTTGTATATGTGTGAAAGTTGGAGTAGAATTTGCAGGCTACGTCAGATAGTTCATGTCGTTCATTGCTGTAGAGGGTACGATTTAAGATAAAATGCGTTCCGTCTTCCACCGTATTCAACGTACATTGTTTGCAAATTCGTTCGTTACACTTACAGCTTCTTATACCGCCCTCTCTCAATTATCAGAGAATTACCAAAGAAAACGTGATTACTTAAACACACTTCACGTCAAGGTGTGAACGATCAGACTTTAACGAGGTGCTAATTAATTTATCTTAATCCACACTTCTGAAATCCTGTTTTGACCACATGGCAGAATGTGAAAGATACAAGAGAAAGAGAATATGTGTGTTGATGGTGTGGGAAACCAATTTTTGTGGATGTTGTTGTTGTTGTTGGACCCTGCCTTTCAAAACAAACAAACAAAATAAATACACAAGCTACCACCCATGAAATACAGGACGCTTGTGTCCCATATACTTCATCAACTGCATGGGGGCCTGCATGCCCTTTTCCGTAGAGCGTATTCAGCCGTTTTGATTCTACGTAGAGCGTATGCTCTAATTCAACGTAGAGTGTAATTGGCGCATTTTGTGTAGAGCGTATTCGCTGTGTTAGTTCCACGTATAGCCACTTGGAATTTATCATGAAGCGTAATCAAGAGCTCTCAAAATTTAGCGTAGAGTGTTGTCGGGACCCCCCATGCAGGCCCTCTTGCATTTGACACTGACATTTTCTTACCCAGCCTGAATTTTTTTCTGTCATGTCAGTTTTGTTTCATGAAACATCATGTGGAACGTGACAATCTTGACGCTCGTAATTCTTTCCTGCATTTTGAGGGGCAAATTTTGCTTGAACTTTTTTACCAAGCTTTAGTACAATGACACTAACAGTGCTAACTGACCATGCTAAATGGTCGTGCGACCTTTTAGTGTAGTGGTTAGCGTTGGTGACCGCCAAGCGGACAACTCGGGTTCGATTCCCGGTTGTGACCTGCTCGCCCCTTTCGGCTTTTACAACACTCTTCACAAGCTGATTTTTGTCCGTCAAAGATGACGGATTGGGCAAAATTTTTGTCCGTCAAGAGGGCAGGATTCCGTCAAATGATGGAAAGACAGACCCTGAGCGATGACAGTGCAGTCTACTTGTGGGGCGGCTGTTGTGACTGATAATACACTTGGCCACACTCGTTCTACAGTCCCAATCTACAAGGTGTTTTGACACTTGTCATGGATTAAACCGGGCGGTTGGTTATTTTGGTAGGGAGCCTGTGTGTGTGAGAAGGGTGGGAAAAGGGGGAAGACCAACAGTGGCGTGTGTGTGGTATAAACACGGTTAGGGGCCTTCCTGCTGAGACCCAGTGTGAACACCATTCACGCTTCATTACCAAAGTCAACGCCACAGACTTCCACACATATTTTTGATGACATGGTGGTCCCGTGGCTTTGCACTGTGTTCCAAAGTTGTAGTGTAACAGTGGGGGAGTTGCTACCAACTGACCCAGCCGATGGGTCTAGACCTTTTTGCTGAGTGGTTTGACTTTGAGCGTCGGATATGAAGCTGGTCCTCGGAAGGTCGTGGGTTCAAACCCCAGCCCGGGACCAGGGGTTTTTATCTGTTTCTACTCGCTTCTCCTGATTCTTACAGTGGGACAACGGTAGCCTCTACCAGACTTTGGAAGCAGCTGGAAAGAGTAGAAATTGCAATGGGCAGATAATAAATAGCCTCATGCATGTTTTTGAAGACACGGGAGCCCCTAATAAGTCTAAGTCTAAGTTTATAAAGATTTTGTCTTCTTGGCTAGGTTACAGTCTATGTTTATAATATTATACAAGACCATTTTTATTCAACTCAAGCTTGGTGGCAAGCTTCCTAGGCATAATAGTGCCACCAGACTAAGTTATAGTAGTCTCCACCAGAATTCTCTTGCAGGCTGAATAAATATAAGCCGAAATCGGCCTAAAAAGGGGATATAATTGGCCAGAGAAGGTGGCCGGCCAGAGAGGGTCCAATTTGCCCGCACGAAACATGCCCGTAGCCAGGATTTTGAATGGGGGGGTTCTTCCTACTGCTGAAGGGGACCTCGAGCGCCGTAGGTTCCTAGGGGGGGTCCGAAAAGTGAACCTTCTAAAATGGCATTTCGTGCGTTTTTGAGAGGATTTCCTAGAAAAAATCAGAGATAAATTTTTATTTAATGACAAAGGGAGCAGTTTTTCTACGATTCCAGTCCATCTTTTCAAGAAAAGTCTTGGACCTTTACATAAAAAGTGGACCTTTACATAAAAAGTGGACCAAAAAGTGGACCTTTGACCCTTTGTGAGGGGGTTCTTCCGAACCCCCCCCCCCCCCCCTGGCTACGGGCATGCGAAAGGGTGTTCAGGTAAAAAATTGTTCTTGCTTTATGCCCAAAGATAGGGCTATGTCTCACAATTAAAATAGTTTTCATTGATGTGCAGTTGACAAGTTATAAGAATTATATTTCTTGGAAATTAAGTACAGTACTTTGGTCAGCAAGAAAGTTGAAGGTAGAGGGGACATAGAGCCTAGGCTGCAGTGCTGCCTGAGCCAACCATTTTTAAAAAATTTTTTTGAAAATGTTAAACGTTTACATGTATAGGGGCCTGCATGGGGGGTCCCGACAATGCTCTACGCTAAATTTTGAGAGCTGGCTACGTATTACGCTACAGTAGCGATTCCGCTTTACGATAAATTCCAAGTGGCTACAACGCATTACGTAGAATTAAAACGCGAAATACGCTCTATGCAAAATGCGCCATTTACGCTTTACGTTGAATTAGAGCAGTCCATCTCCGCTCTACGTAGAATTTAAACGGACGATTACGCTCTATGGAAAAGGGCGTGCGGGCCCCCCTGTATTAAAGATGCGCAAGATTTTGAAGCTGTTGTTTATACTTCTGAAGCATGAAAAATCCACCCCAAGCAATACTGTAGCCACTTCCTTTTATCTTAACCAAACAGGGCTGGAAATAAGCTTAACCAGATTTGGCCAAGATTTGGTATGGGAACTGAGCAATGCATACAAACAGATTGGGCCAATTAGGCATTAGTAACTAATCGCATTGTATACACAGCCTGGCTACAGTTTGTATAGCACATCTGGAGGTGGCAAAATGTGTTCCTATAACAGGGCTTGGTTTACACTGAGGCACAGGTGTACTGGGTGAAGTCTTTGGGAAGGATTTACAAGAAGAGCTAACGCAAATATGGTTTTGTATCATCTAACACCAAATAGGGGTTTGCGGGGGTATACAGTGTGTGTTTTGAAACTTTAGAAATCTTTGCCTTCTACTTTAGAAATCTTGTCGCAAAGCAGATCTTTTGGTTGGTACAAGACAGTATCAAATTGGCAAGACAGTATCAAATTGTCTAGGCAGTTTCATATTGGCATAGCAGATTCCATTTGTTACTGAAAGGTTGGTAGGCATGGCATTAAAAAAAATACCTGTACAACTACAAGAAAAAGAAAGCTTGTCATTAAAAACACATACATTGTAGCTTGAAAAGAAGAAGTATTCAGAGCTTCGTGATTTCAAACTCAAAGTGGACACCACATTTCACAAGTTTGCCAGTGAAGGAAAGCCAAAATATCTGTTCTTTCTTTGGTGAACTTCGAGGTTCGAAGAGTATTCAGGGCTGGAAATTCATTTTTGGGAATAGGTGCCCTGGTCCACCCAACCTAAAAAATTAGGTGCACAGAAAAATTTTTTGATGTACATGTACTATATAAAACAAAACTTACAGATCTTACTGCTCCTCTTCTAAGCTTGAATCTAAAATGGGAGCTAAATTCAAAATCTTAAAACAAGTACTACAACAAAGATTTTATTATTTTTGTGACACTTAGATGCCAAGAATATCCTGTATACAATTATACAT